TCCTTGTTGCATTTCCGAACGTTGCAGTCTGTGGCCAACTATCCAGCAATCTCTTCGCTTCTTCATCCACTTCCTCCCTCAACAGCCCAAGTTTATCCTTTCCACATACTGTTTCGAACGCTGCGTACATGTCTCCAAGCGTAACGCTTATTCCCGGCATGTACACTGCGCGCACATGCGCCGGCATAGCATCCGTGGGAGCCTTCATTACGCGCACAAAATTCTCGATCATAACGCGTGGCGAACATATCATCTGGCGCGCCGAACGGTCGCTAATGGGCACAATACATTCAAGCCCGGCCATCGGCTCGCGAATCAGTCCGCTCAAAAATGCTGCCGCTGATCGCGAAGGCGCGCCTGGACGCACAACCACGGTTGGTAGACGCACAGCGAAGGCATCGATTAGACCACGGCGGTTAAGATCATTGATGTGACTCTCCATGATGGCCTTGTGGGTGCCATAGACGCCGATTGGTGTCGCGGGAGTATCATCTGTAATGGGACCCGATGTCGTATAAGGTGGTCCGTATACAGCCTGGGTGGAAGCGTAGACAATGCGGGGTTTGGAGGCTTGTTGGAGTTGTGAGATGGACGTAAGAACAGAAAGCGTGGCGCCTAGGTTGACTTTGGTAGAAAGCGCAGGGTTCTCTTCGCACCCAACAGACATTATACCATGAAATAGGAAGATGGCTGACCACTGTGAGCGCATAGAAAGGAGTCTGGTGATGTCTGCTTGTGAGGTGAGGTCCGCAGCTGCGAGCTCCAGATTGGATGTCGAAGCTGGAATTCCGGCTGGCCTCTGGGGTGATTGAAGATCGGTCAGGACGACGTTGTAAGAGGAAGTTTGTGTCAACTTGGCGGCGAGCATGGGACCCAGGAAGCCTGCGCCGCCAGTGATGAGGATGTTGTTCGACATTGCTCGGTGGTCTGTCCTTTAAACTCTTGGATCAAGTCTGTGGTGATGAGGTCTCCGACTCCGAAGCACGCGATCTCGGATTGGGAGCAACTGAATGTGGTGAAGAAGTGGAGGGCAAGGCTTTTTGCACGAAAAAGAAATGCGCAACGGAAATGCGCCCAACTGAGCAGATATACATGATGGTATTGTGAGGATCGATGCGAGTCATGTTCGTCTCGAGGGACAATTGTTCGCAACGACCCACAACTTAAATACGCTAGCCTCCGAAGCCGCCTCATTAGCCTGGGGAACCCCACATAGCAGTCTTTGCGGTGGTAGAACACAGTGAGATCGAAGCTTCCCGTTCGCTCAGCCCTGTTCAACAAACATACCGGCGGACTACCTAGGTAGTAGTCTGGCGGATGACCACTGCCGAGTCCCGGCTGTTGCATGTTCTTCTCTTTCTTTGCTTCCAGCGTTCGCGAGTTAGCCAAGGTTTGATGGCATCCGAGAAACCGTCGCATAGTGGCAGCGCACGATGATTGACGTAGTTGTCTTATGGTAGCTCAGTTCAGCCTTACTTCTCTTACCTGAGTCTAACGCAGGGTATCACTCTCTGCGCATCCTCATTTAACCCGAATTTCTTCCGTGCCTTTCTGGCCCCATTACCAATGTTAAGAAATTGATCAATCCAACATAGCACTAGTCCTTCCCAAACTGATCATACTTTCCGCGTGACAGAAGATGGTATTGCATGGTTGAACTTCAGAACACGTATAATTCATTGCCGATTCACCTGTATAACTGGGATAGTGGAGCACAGGCCGTTGAGGTTGTCTACCCGTGTTCTTTGCACTGCTTTACTCTCGGAGTATCTACACAGTTTGCCCTTCACCAATCAACATTGCCCTCTGAGTCTCTTGTTCAACGTACACGGATGAGTTCATTATTGCACCCCGTACTCACGTTTCCTAAATGCCTCTCTTGAGCACGACCTCTGCTCCCAACAATGACCAGCTTTGATGGCCTTGTGTATGTATGAAGACTAAGGCCAGAAGCTATTCGTATATAAAACTCCATCGCTAGTACCACAGCCGTAGCGGTACGGCAAGCTTGTGTATTGTATTTGTGACCATGCATCTCCGCTATCATATCTATGACTTAAGTCGGCCGTGTACTTTGACTATTTCATCAAGGTTTAGCTAGTCTATATTCGAAGAACCTTGCACAATTCTACTACGATAACACCAAGTCTATAAGCACATAGTAACTTGCTCTACTATATCTAGTAGATAGAATATCTCTAGTAGCATTCCAATGTTTTTAGGCTGCCCTACAAGATACAATGGCTTTGGGACGCATCTCAGATTATTCACGAGAACAATTGGCCGATGTACAAAAATACACGGTCAACCATAATCTTCATCAAAGTATGGTGAAAAGTCTGACGTTGCATGTTTCTCAGAATCCTGCACACCTGAGTTCTCTTTGTGTACAGGAATCCAATGCGCCTGTAATTTTCCTCAGACCTGGAAAGAATGAGAGCAAATACTGCTTCGCTTTCATGCGCAGTCTTCCGCATGGTTCCAATGATAGGAAGTACAATCATATTTTTCGAAATTCTGTCTTCCGCAGTGTCGAAACCGATCTTGTCTTGGTGGTACACGTTCAGCGGTATGGTTCGGGAAGTTTGATCTGGGCTTGCGCCGAGAGCGAGGATGTCCACGATTGCTGCGCGCCATGGCCTTAAGGTAGGCTTTCTGTCTTCTGATTTCCAACGACACAATGCGATAGGAGCACGCATGACCAATTGACCAGAAAGTACCCTGCCAAAACGGGACTCGTCTCTCTGGACAACTGCCACACTTTCAATGCTGGCGAGGTACTCGGCCTTGTCGAAGTCGCGCTGACACCACTCGAAAGAGATTTTCCCATCCAGGGAAGCCCAAGACCAGGACGGTGCTATGTAAAGATCGGCATGTCTGCGTGGTACTTTGGGTTGCCATGTTCCTTTTCGAGATACGTTGACGTTCTCAGTCGTCCAAAGAAGATGGCACGGTAGTGATGATTACCACAATCCAGCTATATAGTTATCTCACGGAGACTTATTCTCACCATGTGCGATGACTCTAGCGATACCTGATATACCGATAAGTTTATCATGCGCGTACGTCAATTCTCTGAGTGAATACAGCTCTATGACAGTATCCCAGTCACGATAAACAGCCACACTCCTCTTTGTTGCGTATAGCGTGACTTGTTGGCGTATAATTGGTCGTAATCCCTCTGTGATGGTCTTCCATACTCTTCCCACGAACGTTTCTGCCGTGCCACCGTCTTGCGAGATATGTATTGTCGGCCAGCGATCATCTTTAGTTTCGTCGCCAAGGTCCAATGCCTTGATGTCGATGAGTGTATCATTCGGTACAGAGGCAGGTAGACCGCGGTGAAATGTTTCGCATGCGACATGCTCGCGACACTCTCAAAATAACTGTTCACTGCCGAAGTGGAGGGTACGGGGGGACAGAATGCGCTCCTAGACGATCCAGCCCCTCTGGTTCATTGGTTCCTTCGTCAGATTCAGGAACAACGACATATATCGAGCTGTCTGTGTTTCTCGCAATGCGCCATTAGATGGTTATCTCGGTGCGTTGAACAGCCTCTAGATTCTTGGTACAGTAAAATCCGCCTTCGCTGTCGGCAGACCCAGTTGCTGCGAGATTGATGAAGCAATAGCGGTATACCTTGATCATCAGGTCAGCTTCATGAGACCAGTCTTCCCAACTATCCTGTACAATACATAAGGAATCTATCCACAGATAACGCAGTCCGAGTGACCGCACTATTCATTAAACGTCCTAGGAAGATTGCTGCGGCTTATACCTTCCGAAACGAACTCGTTCAGGTTTCTTTTGGTGGTTACGATGATAGGCTTTCTGCCTCAGCAATGGAGAGGGTCGCGTACGGCTCCTTCGAGTGTTGACTTGCGTTCTGCGGGACTAGATAGATCCTCGAGTCATCGAGATTATGTGGCTCGACATCGAGCACACGTGAAGGCGCCCACGCCCCCGGATACTCGCGTTACAACGTCGGTGGGCGATCTTACATTTCCCTAGCCACTGCTTAATCAATACTCGACACTTCGGGGAGTTTGTGGATTTAGAGGGTGTATATTCGTTCAAGTCGCCTCTGCACATACGTGAGCATGATGGCTGCGTAAATGCACGAGATCAGTGTTTTGCCTGCCTATCTACTCTTCAACCAGCTCGAACGTAGAGCCGACACTCAAGGAATCAGAGAGTCCAATGCGCTGACACGACACTTTCAGCTCGAACGACTTCTGCCAGGTTGCCGCGGACGTGTCAGACTCGCATTTCATCGGAAATACTTCTTTCCAGGTTTTCGGGGACAATTGGTCTGTGATGCTGTGTATCTGCTCAAGGGGCAACGTGCAAATTCCGCATGACTATTCTGTTGATCTCTCTAGATCGCGACGACTCTCGTGGTGTATGACGTCTGTGTGCCAGCTCGGAGTGCTTACTTCGTCCACGCTTCGACGACATACTTCACACACGGTGTTGAACGCGCTTGAAAGGAGTTTAGCGCTCGACATTTTGTTACTATGGATGTTAGTCTCTGTATGATGCCTGTTTCTGTGATGCAATTAGGGAGCAAAAGAAAGGACGAAGCTGCGCGTCCGAGGTGGCAGACGTCCAACGCGTCTTGTTCAGGCGGGCATGGGACTATGCATACACGCAAGCAGGTCAGCCCTTCTTCACATCAGATTTTTAGTACACTCATGCAGCCGAGGAATGCCCCTAAAGAGAAAGCTCGAGATAGGGCCATGAATAATGTTTCACTTGAAGGATAAGAGCAAGGGCGCGCATGGACATGGTTCGGTCGTCCATCAACACGCCGAGTTCCCGCCGGATTTTCAGCGCAGCAATGCCCCGCACAAAGATTTTCTTACCCCTCGTTCTATCCCCCCTCATCGTTCATCTGGAGGTTTGAATGTCGTGTCCATGTGGACTGCTTCAGAGCAAAGCACGACTCATAGATTTATCGCCGCGATACATAATAATTAATTTTAACATTTGCAGAATTCGGGCACTTGGTCTAGGGGTATGATTGTAAGCCGCTCCCACACCACCACACTCCACAACACTCTCTAACAACGCACAGTTCGCTTCGCATTTAAAACCGCTTTTGTGAAAGGTCGTGGGTTCAATTCCCACAGTGTCCACAATTCTTTTTGCTCTCTCGAGTGCATTGGAGGTTGTGGGGTTGTGTTTTTGCGCGTGGTGGTGGAGGTTTCGGGACGCAAAGTCGGTTACCCGGCACTCCACCCCACGAACGCGCGATCGCTGAGGAACACGATAAGATTGAAAGGAACTCTCCATCCGTTATTGAACACAGCCTTGATGGCCCATTCATCGATGTGCAAAGTCTGAACTAATACTTCAACCGCCCTCATTACCAACCACCCTTCCATCCCACTCCTCCACCCTCAAACCACCCTTTCCCACTCCATCACCCCAACGTCAACAACCCCACCGCCTCACCCAATCTCTCCGCAACCCACAAATTCCCCTCCCGACACGCCACAAGATCCCCATCCTCCAAGCTCTCCATACTTGCCGGCAAGGTCTGGGCTTTATACCCATCATCTCTATTCGGCGCATACAACGCGTTCTTATAAAACTTCCGTCCGGGCAGACCGTCCTTCTTGACAAATAACCTCCCGAGAGCCTTGAGTCTGATATTCGCGTCCTGGACTCTCGTCGTATTGGCTAAGAATTCCTTTGTATTGGTAATGTCCGCGAAGTCGTATGAGATTTGCTGTAGTTTCTTGGCCGCTTGATCGAGTTCCGGGATCGCGATTCTCTCTTGCAAACGTCCGTAATCAGAGCCTCCTTTGTTGAGTGTTTCGCCGATGAGGTCGCGGACATAGTAATTGATGTTGCGAGCATATGTTTCGATATCGAATGGGATAAGCAGGTCGTTGGCGAGATGGTATGCTAGCAGAGTGATGAATTGCCCGGCTGTGGCGTGGACGCTGTAGTCTGGGTCGATTTGCTTCATCCAGTGATACGAGTCGTAGTTGCTGTGGTAGTGATACACCGGTGTGTTGCGGTCGGCGTCGAAACCAAAGTCCAGTGCGGGAATACCGAGTTGGAGGAAGGCGGTGTAGTCACTGCCAGAACCCAGGTTTGTGAAGCCGTTATCTTCGGGACGGAATTGGTTTAGATCATCCCATGCATCGTAGAGGGTTTGCTTGCCGTATATGACTTTCTTCATCACGTCGAGGGCGAGACTGCGCAATTCTGGTGTGGCGCCGGCGCCCGGGAGAGGGCCGGCGACGGCGATGTCGAGATTCAGGTAGCTGATCGTGGTGGAGGAGAGCCAGGGCAGGTATTCTTCGACCCATTCTGTGGAGCCAACGAGAGCGTACTCCTCGGCGTCCCAGGAGGCAAAAACACTTGAAGGTAGTCAGCATGCGCCATCCCTTAAAAAGAGATCAAATCTCACATGTTACGCCGTGGCCTCCAACCAGTCTTCATAAGCTCTCCAAATGCTTTCGTGATCTCCATGAGAATCGCGCTGCCAGAATTCGGATCAGCTGCTCCGCCAATGATCCAGGCATCTCGATGGTTTCCGATAATGACAGTCTCGTCGGCATTCGTGCCATTGATGACACCAATGACGTTCCAAATCGGTGAGATCTTTTCTTCCATGAAATTGGTTAGTGCAAGCGTAACACCCTGTGCTGGTCCAGTGCTATAGGTTGCGTTGAGACCTCCAATCCAGCCACCGCGATTGATCTTCTGTCCTGAGACGCCGTACCCATCCAACGCTTTAAGCAAGGGCAAGGCATCACGGTAGGATATGGGGAGAGATGGGATCCTTGGCAAATTCGGAGGTTTGCTGACACGTTCAACGCCAGGCTTGGACGGATAGCCAGGCGTCGTGGGATCACCAGGGTATTGATTAATGTATGCCACCGATCCTCGCTGAACAGAAGATGGATGTCGAGCTGGTCCATCTTTTGCATGTCAATCTCGAGGCGGAATTCATGTCAATCGTTTAGACGTACCGGGATATGCAGCCTGGCCCTTCGCCACTTGCGGCCTGTCATCTCCGGGATCAGAGAACATAACCACACCTATCATGCCATGTGCCTCCGCATTATGTACTTTGAGGCCTCGAAACGGCCCACCGTACTTGGTGAGAGCTATCTTGCCACTTAAGCTAATGTTGGCGGCTTTAAGCGCAGCAAAGTCATCCTTGTGGCCTCGTCTGTCGTGTCTTCAGCAGGTTTATCCATGACACAAATCGAGCTTTATCACCTACCCAACGTATATATACTCTGCCTCCATATATCCACTTGCGGAGTATCCATGAAACGCAGGTAGTACTCCCAGATACCCCGTAGTCTCATCCTGGTCCAACACATCTTCATACATCTGCGCCTCATACCGACTTCCATTCGCCCACTTCAATACAAGTTCTTGCTCTTTTGGATAGCTCAGGAATATCTCGTACTCGACTAAAGACGACGGCACGCCGTGTTCATTCCACTTCTTCGCGGTCACTTCAGCCATCGACTTGTTGCGGCCGGCGATATGGTCGCCATGAGTGTAGTACGATGACCACGCATTCAGATTAGCTTTGGAAAAGGATTCATGAAGGATTTTCTCTTCTGTGGTCCATATTGGTGGGAATGATGCGGCTTGTCGAGGCGCGAGAATACGATGGGATGAGTCCTGGTTATCTTCACGATTGTGCAGGTCGCGTTGACAAGCACTCGTGAACTGTATCGCGGCCACGAGGACTAATAGCAGTTGCGCCATTATTCTCTTTCTGGCAGCGAGGCGATTGCCGCACCATGTATGGAGTGATGATCAAGTAGTCGCAAGCAAGGGCGGGCCGAGCATGAATGGCAGGCACGACTGCGTTCGCGCCTGTATATTTCCAGAGAGGGCAGCAGCGAACGATATACCGCGAATCCTGATTCGGTCTTTCACATATATTATCAGTTCGTATCATGCTTGAATGGGTGCTATGCAAGGGTATCTAAATAACCGAAGTGTGCTCGGTCCTACCCTAACGTGTATAGGCTGGTGGCACTTCACAGGTTCAGGCAAAGCTTCAGGCGACATGATCAGGCCATAGACAAACATCCGGGATTTATTCCTTACTGTACATCTTACTTGTTCGCTAAACGGTCAAGAGCTTAGAGCTCATTGTGCTCAGGTGCAGCACCCTCCTCAGTGATGTCTTCAATCTTGATCTGGACCGGCTCTTCCGCAGCAGCCACAATGAGTGACTCGGGCAACTTTTCCTTTTTGCCTTCACCCATGCGAAGAGCGTCAACCCAATGCTCAACTTCTTGAATACCAAAGCCGCTACCAGAGTACTTCTTGTACCATGAGCGCTTGCCATGCGTAGCGATGAGGTGCACTTGGTCGTCGCTACCGAGACTGAGTGAAGAATGTAATGACACGGCGACAGGATTCGAGGCAGTGACACCCACAAATGGGAAGAGATGACTACCCCTTATGTCGTGCTTCTTGTGGATGGTAGCGAGCGAGGCGACAGCTGTTTGAGCCGCCTCCGAAGACTCGTCCTTTGGCAAAATGGCGAGGATGCATGTTTTGCTGCCCTCGTTCAGACACAGGGCTTGAAGTGCAGCGGAGTCAGAGAGAACGGGGATCGTAGGCTTAATCTCCTCCTTGGGCAGCTCAATTGGCTCAGGAGTATCTTGGTCCTTGATGTTCGGGTCGGGCGACTCTGTCGGGACCACAGGCTCCTCCACAGTCTCGTCCGTGGCTGATGCTGCCGCCGAGGATGCATCTGCCGACTTGTGTGATTCGGAAGCCTTTGAGAATTTGCTGGACGACTTAGCATCCTTCTTTGTGTCCTTCTTGGCTTTGGACTTCTTCTCTTTTGGTGGCGGGCAATCGGGATTCGGTGGTGCGACCTGAGACAGGAACTTGACCATGGCGTCCTTCTCCACTTTACCATCAAACTTGATGGCTTCCTCTGAGCCGGGCTGCAGGAGGATCAAGCTGGGGAACTCGGTTATGCCATACTTCTCCACGGCCGCCTTCTCCGACTTCTTGATTTGCGCGACGGAGACGAGACCAGCGAAATCAATCGCTAGTGCCCTCAGCGTGGCGCTGACGATGCCCTTGTCGCTGAACAGAATCGCCTTGGCGCTGTCCTTGTTTGCCTCCAGCCACTCATCGAGGTTCTTGTCGTTCACCCTCTTGACAGAGTTGGGGACCTTGTCTTTGACGGCGTTCACGATGCCTTTCGCCGAGCGCTCGCCTTGGTAGTCCTCGACAGTCGGCTTGCCTGGCTTCTTGCCCGGGCGAACTATTTTCAGGGTAGGGAAGCCTTGCACGCCCATCTGGCCGCAGAAAGGCTTATTCATCTCCTCGTCGCAATTGACGGCGGCGACTTTGGCAATACCGGCGAGGGACTTGGCTGCCGTCTCGTAGGCAGGCTTGAGGTTCTTGCAGTGGCCACACCACGGCGCGTAGAATCTGGACCTGTTAAGAGGCCTGCTGGAAATGCGTGAGTCGGGGAGCTTACTCTACAATCTAGGTATCGTCAGCTTCCATGCCATGATGTCCGTTATGGTTACTTACGGAAGTGTAGTTTGACTTTGCAATGAGTCTATCGTAGTCCATGCCGTTGAGGTTCAACACACCAGACTTCTTGGTGTACATGCTTTCGGCGTGCGCGTTGATGGCGAGGGCAGCCGTGGCCGCGAGGAGAGCTGTCGTGCGCACCATGGTTGAAGGCGAGAGTAGAGTGTGTTTAGCTCAGTGGACGGTGAAGAAGGGGGAGTGGCACCGCGGTGCTTATGAGGTGGTGGTCACATAATTGAGGTCAAGTTGCCAGCCTGTCTTCTTTCTGTAACCGTCTCTCACTGCGGCGCAAAGTGGCCAGAGCTCACGCGAATGTGGGGTTGCAGGGATCAGCCAACATGACCGCATGCTTCGAGTCCGCGGCCTCGAGCTTCACCACCACCACTCCCATGTGACTGCTATCCACTCAACCTCTTCAACCATGGCCGACAATGTCCCGGCCAAGCTCAAGGGCCTGCAGCTCGGGCAACTCGCTAAACGCGCCGCCCAGTTGGAGAAGTTCAAGCCCATCATCACGTATTGGTGTATGTCCAAGCTGTTTGGAGCAGAGGTGCTCGCTGACTGTTGCAGTGCGCTTCCATATCGT